TTGGTGCAGGGAGCTTTTAGTTTAATATGTGTATTGTTTGTATATGTTGTCTCCACTACAGAAACACTAGGAAACTGCTAAAGTCTGATCAGGTTGTCTGATGTTGACTGCTGTTAGTTATTAGTTTGATTGATGCTTTAATAATGTGAGTATTGATTACTGATGCTGCCTGATCAGGATCATTATCAGCTGCTTGTACTCTGTTTCTCTGCTTTAGTCCTTGTTATTAATGGTGTTTATAGACAGACTGTGGGATTACTCCTTGTGGAAGATCCTGTAGTGTGAACAGTACGGAGATCTCTCTCTAACTCGTCCGTCTCCATGTCAGCCGTTGCAGCTAACGTCCAAACATGCCTCAGCTAAACGGGGGAGACGGAGACGACCTGGGAGCCAACGATGAGCTGATCGCTTTCAAAGACGAGGGGGAGCAGGAGGAGAAGAGGAACGTGTCCGCCGGACGGGACCTGGACGACGTCAAGTCCTCTCTGGTCAACGAGTCGGAGACCAACAGCAGCTCGGACTCGGAGGTGAGTTACCTGGCAGCCGGTGGACCCTCAGTAGATCCGGTCTGTGTGTCTCTGCGCTCTGTTTACGTGTCTGTGTGTGGTTTCTGTGCAGGCAGACAGACGATCCAAACCCGGTCCCCATCTGGAGAGCAGGGCCAGACACAGTCAGCTGTTTGAAGAAGGTAACGGACACACGTTGAGTACTTAATCTTCATCACGCTCGAGTCCCGTCTCACAGCAGCATGAAAACCCGACGTACCCACTGAGAGTTAAAGAGCTCTGCGACTCAGCATTAATCTGGACTTATACTCGACTCGTGGGTTTAACCCGCTGATATCAGACCATATCGTACTCTGATTATATGTTTTATAGGCCGAGACAGATTAAATGAAGGAAATTACTTTATGAGTCAGAAATCCACTTTAATAACATTGAGGATTGTTACGGTACAGACTGATAAAAGATCCGTCACAGTCAGTACAGTAAAGCTGAGATATCCTCACTTTCAGACTCCATGTCCCCAGTTTATGATGCATGTTTTCTGTCTCACATGTTAAGTGTGAAGCCCCCAGTAAGCCCCCACCAGGGTGTGTGAACTGGTCTTTGTGTTTGATGCTGATTTGTTTCTCAGCGCTGAGGAGACGGCAGGACGGAGGACTCTTCCAGCACTCTCCGTACGTCGGATATCCCTTCTTCATGATCCCAGACCTCGGGAACATCTGCAATCCTTACCTCGCCAACGGAGCCCTCACACAAAGTGCCAGGACGGTAAGACCACACACACACACACACACACACACACTCTGTGGTGCTGCATCCTTGTGAGCATTAAAGTGAAACAGAGCGACGGAGCTGAACGATTATTCTCGATTCATCATCTGTTTTATTGTCAGCGAGAGAGGAGGAAGTTGTAATGTCCCTGAGGGGTAAATTAAATCACACAGTTTACACACGTTAATGTCACTTTCACTTTTCACCAGAAACACAAGCTGCAAGAAGAAACCTGAAACCTTATAACACACGTCTTCTTATTCCTTAAAGTTCTATATTTCATCTCTCAGTTCGGTCTGATGAACTTCCTGCTCAGCTCTGAACACGTTCTTCATTCTATCCAGATAATAATCCAGAAATCAGTAAAAATAAAAGAACGTCGAGGTTCGTGAGACGCTGACGTCACGCAGATGAACTCGTTCACAGGCGTAACTGAAACCCTGACTCGCCCGCGCTCAGCAACAGGTTCAAGCTGCTTCACATTGTTTTGCAAATTGAGACCTGGATACCACTGACTCACCATTGTCCTGACAGCTTCTTTTGTGCACTTGCATTTGATTCGGTGTGTGTGTGTGTGTGTG